ATAAAGAGTGCTCCTCTTATCTTTCCTTCTCCCAAAGCCTATTACAGTAAGATAATGCACAGGCTGAACCTTTAATCAGAAATCTTTATTTATATTTGCAGATTTCTTGAGAACCAGCCCAAGGGGAATTTTCTGAGGATCCTGTTATCTACAGTCTGCAATCTTCCCTTTCTTGAAAATAAGCTTCTCATTCTTTTCCTATATAAATTGCTTCACCTGACCACACAGTCAAGATCGTTCTCTAGGATGTGAATCTGTCATCTTCCAATTTACTGGCTTGTGGTTAATCAAAACTCTCTTTACCTGCTATTTTTTCCTCCCAGTCGATTGGCCCCCTTGAATGGCAAAGGAACCAGGTCTACACAGTTCTCCATTTGGTGTGATATCATCAAAAGGTTTGTGTGTAAATCAATTGCTTTGTGTATTCCACATACAATGTAGAAAGTTTTAGAAAAACTGTCTTACGCAGTTTGCCTTTAAATACCCGCTGGAGGCACTGGAAATAAAGGATTGTCGGTAATTAATTGATCTGTTTATTTCTATCTACCTACCTATAGCTGATTCTGAACCCAGCAAAGCATTAATATCATTTTCCTGTTTCTAAGATTCAAAACCAAATTGAGAGGATTTGGCTTGTCTGTAATTGAGAAATCTTTCATTTCTGAGTTAATATTTCTGAATCTTGTTTCACTCATTAATATGCAATAATAATAAAATTTCAAAGCAGTATTAAAATCAAAATAGCACTGTCTGCCAAATTGCTTGACTGTAGTAAAATACAAGATCAAGATAGTCATGATTTTGTCTGATTAACCTTACCTACTTCATCTGTCTCTGAGATTTCTTAGTTTGAAGACTTTTTACAAGTCATACTAACCTTAGGGTGGCTATGGGTGGCGATTTTAGGAAGAACTAGATCTGTTCCTCCTTTCTTCCTTTTTAAAAAGACTTAATTTCTTTATTTAATTAACTTGCCTTTTTTTTTCTCCTGCCAGTACTGATGTCAATTCTTAAATATTTTCAATAGGTTTGGAATTATTGGAAAAATTTGTATGTGAATGTAAAGGCATTTGCTTCCTGGGAAGTTCAGGGATAATGCACTGACTCTCTGATATCTAGATCAAACTACTGTCTTCAATAAATGTATTTACATTTTTTTATATTTAAAATATAAAATATTTCTGCTAGATGCAAGTAAATATTTTCCCATTACCTGCATGTTAGTTTGAAGTATACAGATTAGGGCATATTATATTGAGAGAAACCAGCTTTGCTTTAACTGCAAGGTTTTATGGCTTAGTCTTGGTGCTCCAATTTTCACATGATTGAATTCAGTGTAGAAGACACAATGTAAGAAATAATGAGCCAGTGAAAAAATCATAGATTTTTTACTGTAATTTCTTTCTTTCTTTCTTTCTTTCTTTCTTTCTTTCTTTCTTTCTTTCTTTTTTTTTTTGGTGGGAAGAGAGCTTTGGTAGATACGGTTTTCCATGAATTTCGATGATACCCATATTTCAAAATAGTTTACTATACCTGGTCTTTTTCTGTGGCTTTTTCAATTAGTTGTTCTGATCATATATCACATTAATTTTTTTTATTTGATTGAGCATCATAAATGAACAGATTTCGGGAAAAGAGCTTAAACCATTCATTTGCATATTAAAATAGTCACAAATGGAGGGCTTTTAGCCAAGTCAAATTTTGTGGGGGAAGTGAGATGTTTTTAGAAAATTGTATCTGAATATTTGAGGTAGAGTATATAATCTGTTTCATAACCTGCTAGCTTGTAAAATTATACCATCTACCTGTCTCCTATATGCATTTAACTTTTCAGATGCTCAGTCTGCAAAATCATCATGAATTTTATCATTAGTGTCTGTACACTCTGTTGCCTTTTAGCAGGTAAGTGTTCTAAATAATAGGTCATAACATTTCTTCAGAAAATTTCTTTTTTAAAGCTAGATGTTGATCAACCTTTTGGGAATAGCAACAGAAAGAAAAGGTACACAGGAATCTGAAGTTGTAGCATCTAAAATCTTTACCCTGTATTTTTTTTGAAGGGACTGAAAGATGTGAAAATAGTACAGTGGTTACAGAATAAAATTAAAAAATGGGACTAGCAGAAATATGCTTAAATCATTATTTCTTCCACTTTCTCTCAAACTGTTTTAAAATGAGTCAAATACATATTTTAATTGATAAACTGACTTTATATTCACCTATTGGAAACAGTACAACATATTTTACATCAGATTATGAAATATGGATGTTTTACTAAAAGACAGGAAGAGCCTTTTCCGGTCTTTAAAGTAAATACATATTCAAAGGATCTTAAGGCATACCATTTATTCATATTCATATCTATTGAAATACTGTACATCCACATACTTCAATAAATAGTTAAAAACCTGACCTTTTTTAAATCATTTCTGAATTTCAAAAAACAATTTTTATTGAAAAGATTAAATAGTTAACTTTTGGCTGTGTCACAAAGCTAAATACAATGGATAAATTAACAATTATTCAGTAAATTTGATCAATATAAATGATTGGCTTTGATAAGTTCCTCAGATTGTTCTGAGTTCACACATAGGGGTATTTATATATACTTATATATATATATATTTTGTCCTGAATTATCTGGTAATTTTCTCAGTTCTCCAGTCTACTTTCTAGATATATCTTAAATGTTATGATAAAACATTTATTTTTCACTTAAATCCCCCCAAGTGGCTTTAAGCTTGACATTCTCTCTCTCTCAAATCTTTTAGTGTCCCTCAAAATACAATGCTATAATTTGGGCAGTACTTTTGTTATGTAATTGCTGCATAATAGGGATTTAATGGTAGTAACAGGACTTATGTTTTGAATGGGATCATTGTAAAACATAATTGCATACTTGTAGGTAAAAGAATAATGCAAATGAACTGTCATCAACTACCTTAATATTTCAATTCTTTCCCCCATCCTGGCCTTCCTTCTGTCTTGCCTTTCTTCTTTCTTTGGCTTTCTTTCCCTTCTTTGCTTTTTTCTCATTTTCCTCTTCTATCTCAACTGCTCTCTATTTTTTTTACTTTTCCTTCTTTGAAAAAGAAAATTCAGGGGCAACAAAAGGAGTCCCACAAATGGAACTTACGGAAATCTAAAGCTAAAATGAATAGTTAGAAAAAAATTGTCATAGATCAGAAGATAAATCAATTTTATAAAACCACTATTCTGAAATTGCAACAATCTTGTACAGTCAGGACTGATAAAATGGAGTAATCAGACATTTCTTATGTCCATAAATGTAAAATCATCTACTTGAACATTATATGCAATACATTCACACAAAAAAGCAAATACTGTAGCCTTATTTGAACAATATTGAACTCATAAATACTCATGATTTCACTCTGTCCAGGGGCCTAGGGACTAGGAATGCTGCTGTAATACAGAAAAACATAGTAAATACCTCCTCTATTTAAAAATGTCACTCAAGAAAGTCTTTTCTAACATAAAGGCAAATACATATAGCTACTGAGCTATGACTGTACTTCTGTCACATTCTATGGAAAAAACACCAGACTCCACAAATTCGGAATCATGACAACACTTTGAACTAATTATTTGGTTCATCCATAGTTTATACCTCGATTTACCTCACATTACCCTACAAACCTTACAAAGAGGAGGTATTTTTAACTCTAGGAAAGCGGTCACTGTATAATATGCATTCTTGATCTGTTTCTTTCTCCCAAACAATGGTACTGATGGTTAACACTTTTGTGGTAGCACCACTATTTCTAGTAAGTAGATTATTATGGAGTGTGCCACTTTAAAGCTGCAATACAAAAAAATAGAATTTGTAGTTTACTCACCAATTCCACAAAGAATATTTTAAAAAGTAAATCAATTTTAAACAAACCAAAATAATCAAAGTTAAAATGCCATATAAATTTTAAAAAACATTTTAACAAAAATCAAAATAATGTAGTAAATTATTAGAGTGTAAATTTGATAGCATAATGCCATATTATTGCCATTTTTGTAGAATCATTGTACATTTTTGCCTCCTTATTTAAGTTTCACTTCATATAGTATACGTTGGGACTAAATTTACTTTAAAAAATCATGGTTTTTCAAGTCATCTCTTTTAGGGAAAATTTTGAGATATTTTAAATATGTACAAATTCTGTGAAATACTTTGTAACTAAGTTAATCACTGTAATTATTTTTTGTAAAATCATTAAACTATTTCTGTAATATAATGCTAAAGTAACAGTCATTTCCTTAAACATGTAGTTTTTTAAAAATAATATATAGTTATGATATTACAAAATTGGTGTATCTTAAGAAATGCTAATCTCTGGTGTTTTGTTTTCAATCACCTCTTGCACATGAAGAAATAAACCATGGTAAATAGTTTTTTGGTCATATTAATTTGAGGTAAAATGGCTAGAGAGATAAGTTTATATCCAAATTAGTTATTCAGGGATTGATCTGCTGCATACCATCCTGAAACTATTTTATAATATATTTTGGAACTATTTTTTATATAAAATGCATTCCAAACTATCAACTGAGTGATGTTTTCAGATGGAAAATATGCAAAACATTCCTGTTCATGGGAGCAATGTATCTATCATACCAACATAACTGTCATAGAACCAAATTAATTTTGAGTGCTTAGCAACTCATATAAAATTAGGTTATTGGGGCTGGAGCAATAGCACAGAGGATAGGATGTTTGCCTTGCACTCGACCAACCCCGGTTCAATTCCCAGAATACCATATGGTCCCCCAGCACTGCCAGGAGTAATTCCTGAGTGCAGAACCAGGAGTAACCACCATGCATCACTGGGTGTGACCCAAAAAGCAAAAAATAAATAAATAAATAAAATTAGGTTATTATACTTTCTGACCAACCATCTTAGTAATGTTGGCTTGGAAAAGTGAAGGGAAAGATGCTGCTTTGCTAAGCAGTATCTTGGATGGACCGTACTGTCATTTTCAAGGGAATTATTTCCCAAAGTGAATCTAACATTTAACTACAACTAAAGAATCCATTGGTAAATTGACTTGTACTATGTACTTAAATTGCTTTTCATCACAAAACTGAGTTATTATGGGACAAAAATTCTCAAACCTCACTGGTAATGAGGGGAGAGAATTTTACAATCAAATAGCTCCTCTGTTCTTTAGAGATAAGTATAGTTTAACTTTATCACTGTGGTTCCTTTTTGCTCTCAAATCGTGGGATTTGGCAAAACATTTTTATTACTTGGAGACAAAAGAGAAATCTTATTTTATGAAGGCACACCCATGCTGAACTTACAGGAAAGAGAAGCAGAGCTGCACAGCCGGTTATATTACAAGGCTCATTCCTGAAACCTGAATATCATGCGAGCAGAAAAATCTAGATATGTATTATATTTTGAAGAAATGATCTGAAGGCAATATTATTTGCTTTTTTTATCAAAAAAGAAAAAAATGCATATTTGTAAATGTGGATTGACTCGAATTGAAACAGGGAAATGAATGCTTGTATTGCAGCCTTAAAGAATCACATATTCACTGCAATATTCGTTTTTGTAAACTACAGCCTGCAACCTAGCAGACCATGACTGAATGCTTTTGAAAAGTTGTAGATTACAAACATGAAATCACAATTAATATCCTCTAAAAGTAATTTCAGAGCTTTCACATCTTAAAAAAAGGACAATGTGTACTGCTTCACAAGGTAATGTAGCTAATCAAAAAAAGAGTAGAATTAAAGTATTTACATAATGAGCAATTCTACAGAAGGCGATCATCCCCATGTAAGCACTGCTGATTATATCCCACGCTGCTTTTAACAAACTGTACCAGATTGGATCCAGCCATCAGCACTTTCAGAGAATCCTTAAAAGCCTTTTATGGGTCTTTAAATTTATTGTAGAATGGCATTCTTCAGGTAGAATATGCTGGTGAAAGAGGACAGTGTCAACACAAGGTACCAGCAGGAGAAAAGAACTTCAGCGCTCCCGGTAATTCCATACTGGGCTGTACTTGGAGCTGGAAAGGAATGGAAAAGATTAAATCAAAATCTAATTTGCGTCTTTCAGGAGCTTAACTCTAATCAAAAGGCAGCTGGGGGTATTGTGGATAGCACTAGCATTGGAATTACACAAACTTACCAAGTTCACAACTGGTTTTGCTGTTCTGATAATGTATGGCCTATTCCTTAACATCCCTTAGCTTCACTTTTCTCAAGGGCAACAGAGAGAATATAATCACCAAACAGGGATATGGTGATAATTGTGGATAAACTATGTATACACACATTATACTGGACTCCACACATGTTAAACATTCAAGAATCATCAGCTGATGTTACAACTATTATATGCGTTACACATATTTGTGTCAGTGAACAATATTTATTCATGCATATATTTTAAATGTATTTATTTATTTTTGGGGGGGTGCCAGGCCTGGCTGTACTGAGTGCTCACTACTGTTTGTGTTCGGAGGTAACTTGTTTGGGGGCTTGAGGAACCATATATTGAGCTCAGATTGAATCTAGTTTGGCCATGTGCAAGGCAAGCACCCTGCAGCTGTACTATCCCCTGGTCCCATATGTTTTAAACTTTGTTTTACTGAGATGTAACTGACAATAAACATTTTGCAAGTTTAAAGTATATGTTGTATTGATTTGACACATTTATATACAGTATTAAGATTTGGTTAACACCTCTATCAATTCACAATCATCATTTATTTCTGTTATGAATAATTATAATCTACTTTCATAACTCATATAGTATACTTATCTGTAATCACTATGATGAACATTAGCTCTTAATATTAGGAGTTAGTGGTATACTAAATACATGTTGGTACTCTAAAAGAGCATCTCCCTAATTCTCCCACCTTCCACTGTCTGATAACCACAGATTTCCTCTATATTCCTATGATTTTAACTTTCTGTTTGAATTACACATATATGAACATATATCTATATTGTGTGCATATACATTCATAAAATATACATGTATTGGGGGGATATTTTCATTGACCATATGCTGAACCAGAAGTTTAGTCTTCCCCCAAATATTAAGATAGACTTTTTACATGATATTCAGATATGACTTTTCCATTATGTACCCTTAGTGTGCAGAACTAAGGTCATCAATAGCCATGTACCTTGGAGAAATTTTTAGGACAACCTTAATAAATGCACATTACCTACATTTATGGACACCTTCAGAAAAAACAGTTTCATCAGAAAAACCCATTTTAATGAAGGGTGAATATTTAAAGTCTTATAAAGTTATCCTCTCCTCTACATATGTGATGCCTTTCTTGCTTCTCAATAACCCAATAACCCAGGACCTATCTCATTCCTTAGAGCAGATACAAACCATTGAGTTGTGCCATTTACTACAGAAAGCTATTTAAATTCTCCAATCTATGTAATTAAATTTGTTTTTATCTCCCTTCAAAGATGAAATCATTGTTTGATCTTTGAGACTGAGAAGTATCTAGGGATTTGGGGTAATATTTCCTGGAGTCCAGATGGTTTTAACTGCTGAAATAACAAAGAAGGGTTCTCTTTCCTACATAGTCTCTTTTTTTGAGATGAATAAAGATGTTCAAACAATTGTAATATCAAAGAATATTAGAGTTGTATGTACAAACTTCAGTGACACAGAAAATTGTATATTTAAATCTGTCTAGGCAAGAGATAAATGATTGAGCAAAGAATGTAAATGAAAGGAACCATGATTTGAATGGAGGGAATAATTCAAAGGCAGGAGCTAAGGAGACTGCACAGCATAGATTCTAGGATCTAAAGGTAGATGAATCTTGCTGTATTGTGCCCTTTTACAGGCCTGGAGTATATAGAATTGAAACTGGAACTCTATGCAAATAGAATTATAATGAAAAGAACTCAATTATAACAAAAAGGAACTAATCTTTTGTAACTGAAGGAGGTTTAGAAGAATTTAAAGTTGTATGATTACATTTGTATGTTAGGTCATAATTTTATATAAGGAGAAGTTCAGGTAGTACAATGCTAAAAGATATATTAAATTATCAATAAGAAAAAATATTTCACAAAAAATTTCACCAAACTTGTGTTATTGGAATCATTGATGGATTTGACTTTATCACAAGAAGATAGTTGCCTCTCAGAATGTGTTACATTGCGTTCCAGAGATTGAATGGTATGGCCATGCTCAAACTTTCTAGAAACAAATTCTCTTTTGCCATAATACTAAAAATAGTGAAAGAAAAAAATTCCACCAACATATTCTTAACTATTTTTTTAATGATACCTGAATTTTAGGAACTTCTTCACAGAGACATGAATAATATGAAGAAAATACATGATATCACCTCCAAATTCATAAATCTAGGAACAATTTTTTTTGTCACAGCATTTGAATTACCAGCAGGTAAGTTTTTAATGGAACTTTAACCAGTGACTTATATTTCAATGTAGGAGGAAGAATTGTGTTGTTTATACCTCTAAGAAATGAAAGGGTAAGAAATGACTTGGTCCCTGCCAATGCCTGTAGTGTGAAGCTGCCTGTAAGTACAATTGTTGATTCTGGGTAACTGAAACTCAAAGACTGAGTTTCTTATTTCTTAGTAAACACAGAGTAAAATTAGCTAAATTGTACTTGCATATACATCACAGATCATTTTTGAAAAAAAGAGAAAATGATAAAGTAAATAAATCATATTTTTGAGTAGAACACTTTTTTTGTCTTGATATGTAAAATGCCTTATATAAACCATGAAATTGAAGTATATCTTATGTTTCGGGCTTAGGAAAAATATTTTTGTAAGATATGAAAATAAATATTTAATTGGTCTATTACCTTCTTAAAAATAACGACTTCAGAGATATTTTAGCTTTTGTATTTTAAGAATATTGAGTCGACTATAACAGTAACAGTCTTATGACATGTAAATTGAATGTGATCATTTTATAAATAATAGATTTTTAAAATCCATTTATACAAAGCAAAGATAAAAATTTCTTATTGTCACATAAGAAAATGTCTGGTGCATAGTAGCTGCACAGAAATTTCTGTTGAATGAATGATTCAGTTAATGGTCATTATTTAAGGCAGTATTTATGTCCTATAAAATGAAATCTCTTCTAAAGCAAGTCACTTGTTAAAGGTTGGAAGATCTGCAAATATATGTTAATATAAGATACTTTATTCCTTCAGAAAATATTTACAAAGTTAGGTGCCAGAACATTGAACTAAGTACTGGGAATATAGTAGTTAATAAAATAGGTATTATCCTATTTTACTAAATTCTATATGCCTTCATAAGTTTTTCATTTTATCATGAATCTTTAAAGAAACCCTTACCCTAACATGTCCCTTTTAACCATATGGTTTTTAGAAATGACAAAATTATTTCAAATATAGATGTTAAAGTTACTTATAACATGGACCAGTGAGTACAGCAGTAAATTACGTGCTTTGCACATGGCTGAACTAGGTTCCATCTATGGCACCGAATTCAGTTCCCAAAGCATCATCAGAACTGATTACTGAGCACAGAACCAGGAATAATCCCTGGGCACAACTGGACATAGGCCCCCAAAGTCAACAACAAAAATTTTACATATTACTTTGAAATCAAAAGAATTTTTTTCTCTAATTGATGTACTTTTTAGTTGTTTGTGAATGTAATACTTCTGTTTCTTCTAAAATAAAAATCCTGTTGTAACATGAAACAAATTATAATTATTAAAAATTAGTAGGCAGAGGGGATGGAGAGAGAGCACAGCGGGTAGGGCGTTTGCCTTGCACGCAGCCGACCCAGGTTCGATTCCCAGCATCCCATATGGTCCCCTGAGCACCGCCAGGAGTGGTTTCTGAGTGCAGAGCCAGGAGTAATCCCTGGGCATCGCCAGGTGTGACCCAAAAAGCAAAAAAAAAAAAAAAAATTAGTAGGCAGAAAACTAAAAGCAAAGTTAATCAAGTAGTCTGTGAGGTTAGCCACTGTCAAGTAATACCTCTTGATTCCTACTCTTTTTTATGTCTTCTACGTGCTGGACTAAACCAAAAATCATATAGGCAAAAATTAATAAAATTCAGTCACCTCTCTTAGGAAATTTTTGTTCTACTTTGAAATATAAATTAAAAAGGAAAATATAGAAGACTAGTTTATATATCATTGCAAGGAAAATGAGTAAACACAGGTTTGTGGAGTCTCCCAAAACAATCATGGCAGGTAAAATGTCCAGTCAGCATGCACAATTATATATATATATATATATATTTAAAAATAGAGTGGTATATTCATTAAAAATAAATATTTCACTTTTCAAAATGAGGCAAAATAGTCCATGGTTCGAATATCTTATTATATGACTTATTTTCATTGATTGATTTTTCTAAAGCAGATTTTATTGTTTTTGTTGATATTACTGGCTGAGTGATTTAGAAAACAAAGGTAATGGTAACTGCATTCAGCATCTCAGTACTACTTGGGACAATTAGGTCTACTATGTTAATTCTAAGAATTATAGAAAATAATGATTAGCTATTATTATAAATTAATTTCAAGACTCAGTTCAAGTATCATCTTTAAAAAGATGAAATGCTTTTTATAGAAATCAACACACCAAATTAATTGCATCCTCTTTGATGACTTATCGATATAGCTTTCCTTGTTAGGACAAAGATATCTTCATGCTAAGATTTATTTTATGTATCTTTTATTCACTGCTATAGAATCAAGAGTGAAATATTTAAACAATGTTCAGTAAATGTATGTTGAGTGATTATAAGTTTCCTTCCTATTCATTTCTCATACTGTCACTACAAAAGAATAAGGGGACACAACACTTAGACTTTTCTTTTTATGAGTTTTTTGTCTTTTCTCCCTCATATTTTCGCAAGTCTTTGTTCTTTTTCTACTTTTAAATTCATTACTACCTTCCAGGCCTGTATGGTGTCAGTATGCCTCTATTTATCATTTCAGCAATGTTATATGTGAACTATCAGGCAAATTGCATAAGATCTTAAACTCAACTTTTT